AATGTATTTCTGTGTAGATACAACTTCTCAAATAAACTTACATGAAGTTCTGTTGTGCAGAGCAGTAATACTCTGAAGTGTTGCTTAGTGTCAGCTGTCATGTCATATTAATGAGTTGTTGGATCCTTTGGAGCCTGGGTATCTCTACTTACAGGTAATCCTTACTTTATTAATCTGAGACAATTGTCTTTAAGCAAGAGCATTAACCTGATGATGGGTGGAGACCAGCAGTCTGCAGGAGACTGCTGGAAAAATCTGACATACCTTCCCTCAGCATCAGTTTTCCACAGGTCAGTAGAATACATGAATTTGGAGGGAGGGACAGTAATTTGGTGCAGACAGACTAATACTTCTTGAGTAGAAGTCTTGGTATTAAATCACTGTTCATCAGAAATCAGTGATGGAATGTTTTGAGCAGTACCTGTCCTGAGAGCTGACTGTGGGTGTTGGAGACTGCACAGGTGCTTCTCTGCCACTGTACCTCCCCACAAAGGGCTGAGACAGCACACTGGCTCATAAGCATGCCAACTGCTGGGATCAGCACCCTCTGGCATGTGGTGGGTTTGATCTGTGCAGTTGTTCTTGAGCTGACACTGCATGTGCTTGCTGACCCCTCTTGAGTTCGACTAAGACCTGTAATGCACAGACAATGCTTATTCTACCTTCAACTGTTCTGTTATGCACCTCGTCGCTGGAGACTGTCCAAGCCTTCCATGATGTGAAATGTGTTGAGGTTAGCTTCTTGGTTCTGCTGCTTCTTTAGGCTTTTCATTAGGACCCAAGAGCAGAAGAGGACTGAGAGTTTTCCATAACTACTACCTGGCTAATGGAGTAGGCAGAGACATCTTGTACCTTCCGGGCACTTACTTGAGGGTAGCAGCATACCATAATGTATGTGTGCGGGCTCAGGTTTTTGCTATTGCTGTGTAATTGCTTGATATTTAGGAGCTGGGCTGTTGGAAACTCCCACAGTGCTTCTCTCAGCACTGTACTTCAAGTGTGGAAGCTGAAACCTGTCTTCAATGACAAAGTTTTCCACCAATTGTTTGCAGTTCTTGGTGCAGAATAGAGTGAGCCTCAGTCACTTGGATAGTGTGAGTGGAAGTGGCTGGTGGTCATGTAGTCCAAGCTCCTGTGTAAAACAGGCCCAACCTACTTCAGTTCTATAATCTCCAAGGACAGGGTTTCCACACAAGTCTTGCTCTTATAACTACTTTTTCTTCCTGGTGGGAATCTCCCATGTTCTAAGTTGTGGCTGTTGACTCTTGTCCTGCCCTAGTCTGTCTCTCAGAAGAGCCTGGTTCTGTCCCTTGCCATGAAGTAACTGCAGACAGCGGTAATGTCTCTTCTCAGCTTCCTGTTACAGGTGAACAAACCCAGTTCTCTCCACCATCCATCGTGGTTGCCCTCTGCTTGATTTGCTCCAGTATGTATGTCACTGCCTTTCTTGTACTGGGGAAGATATTAGGAAGAAGTTCTTCACTGTGAGGGTGGTGAGACACTGGAACAGGTTGCCCAAGGAAGTTGTAGATGCCCCCTCCCTGGAAGTGTTCTCGGCCAGGCTGGATGAGGCTTTGAGCAACCTGGTCTAGTGGAAGGTGTCCCTGCTGATGGCAGGGGGATTGGAACTAGATGATCTTTAAGGTCCCTTCCAATCCAAACCATTCTATGATTCTATGAAGATGGAATTGGATGTGGTATTCCAGATCTGCTCTGCCAGACATGAGAGGCAGGAGGAAAGGGTCAGAACTGTCTGATGTGTTAGTGCAGCCTTTGCAGCAAGGGTATGCTGCCTCACGTTCAACTTCTGCAACACCAGTCCCCAAAATGTAGTGTTGCTTCAAAGGCTGCATGTGTTTTTGCACATAAATGTGGTAAACGGCCCCTCCAGGTTCAGGGGTGCTGGCAAAGTTACTGTAACCCCGGTATCTCTGGTCTGAGAAAAGGAAGAGAGACCCGCATGCAGAGGAGTGAGAACAAAGCTGCATCACTAGAGGGCGATGGACCATGAAGGCAGCGAAGCTCTCCCTGTCTGCACTGAAGGTACTAGGAGGTGGAACAGGATGCTGTTTTATTGCAGCTGGAAGCAGCTGATGACTAAGTTCCTCTTGGCTTGGCTCAGGCAACTGGATCTCAGTGTCCTAGAGTGCCCTTTCTAACAGCTTGCAGGGCTGGTAAGGTGAACCTTCTTCCTGCTTATGGAGTAAGGTGATCTCCTCAACAGCTTTTCTAGCTGAAGCATGCTGTTAACTAAAAACTTTCAGGAATGAGTAATAAAAGCTGTCTGAAGGAGACACTACTCCAAGCACTACTGCTCAGAAGATGGCAATAATAGTTCAACTCGTGGCAGCACTGACCTCTGGCTTCAGGGTAGTGGATACTCATCCCTTACAGAGGTGGAATTTAGGTGACCTGTGCTGAACTCATGGCATTCTTCTGGCAGGAGTTACCCTTAGAGCATAGGTCATAGTAATTGACAATCCAGAAACTTGGAAGTTGAGTTGAACCTTAATATTAGAACTTTCATATTAACAAATCAACAGGCCAAGGCCTAAACCAGAGGATTTATTTTCCATAGTAGATCATGTAAAATCTGCAGTTGTTTCAAAGCACCATGTCATAGCTGCCACTTCCCCTTCAGTTTTGAGGGTTCTATACCCTCATTGATTGAAAAAAGCCTTTTCCTTTAATCTAGCAGGGTGGTGACACTGACTTCAACCTCTTTTTGCTCCTCAGCGAGACAGGACTGTTAAATGTTTGTGGCATAAACAAGAGACAGCACTCAGTTAATCAAATCAAACTTTATTCCCATGAATTCCTATACCAGCATTATCAAGTTCTGAGCTGCACTGATACATCTGTACAGCTTGAACAGCTGTGAATGGAAAAATTACTGTTCACACCAACCTGAAGAAGTATACTCTCAAAACAGCTGTCTACTTCAGCCACCAGCTTTTTGCTGTAGGTTCAGTTCTAAATATCCTGCTTCTCTTGAAGCTTCAACTTTTGTATTAAAAATTGCAACCATGAGCTTTAAAAAATGAAAGCAAAGACAAATATAAGAAATAGATTGAAGTATTCCACTGATGTGGAATCAGTCCTCACCTTTTCATAGCTATCAGAATCGCATACAAATATACTATTTCTTTTGGCTAGACAACTTTGAAAAGAAGGGGAAGTCTACCAACTCTTAAAGCCTTACCCTCCTACCTGAATTATTTAAAGATTTGGTATAAATTCCTTCTGAAGTACTGATGATGCACAGTATTACTGCCCCTAGGGTACCAGTCATCAAGGTAAATGGTGCAATAAACACTGAAGACTCTCCAGCCCTGCCCTGCTTTAACCACCTTTTCTCATGGGTGTATGAAAGGGAGATGAACAGTTCTTGCTACATGTTAAAGCTGGGGAATCAAGAAGAGTTTGTGGAACTGCAGCAACCACCTTTCACCAAAGAAGCTGTAAGAATGGAGTGGAGGAGCCAGTTTAAGTAAGTGTGCTGTGGCCCCACTGGATGAGGCAGAAGGTGTTGAGATGCTTTCATCAATGCCTCAAGGTTTTCCCTGTTTTGGGGATCTGAAAGGGAAGCTGTAACATGCAAAACTCAGCTTTTCCCAGCTGTGACTGTTGTCAGTCACTGTCCAATTGTAGTTGCTGTGACAAGCTGCTAATCTCTGTGGAGCTCTGATGGTCTTGGTGGGTCTGTGCCCTCCACCAGGGTGGGCTGTCACTTACAGCAACACAGACAATATCCCTCTGTACAACCCCAGGTCTGAGTCATGAATTGTGTTGCTCTGAGACCTGCTTTGCCTTCTCCTAGGACAGGCAGCAGCTGCTTCTTATGAGGCAGAGCACGCTTGTATAAAGGATATCCTACTCAAAGGATGCAAGCGTGGCATCTAGAAATAGGCATTGCTGCATCACTTTGAGTAACTGTGTGTTTAACCCAGTAACATGACCAAGCAGCCATGCCCTCCAGGCCTGAAGGTGACACAAACTATTCAGTCATGTGAGATTTTTCCACTCAGCTGAAGAGACACAGTAAGTGGCAGGACTCCAGCCCACATGCATCCTACACCATGGAGAGAACATGATGTCAGTTGTCTTTGTGAACTCAGTCCTGGCTTTCTGCTCCTCTTCAGCTTCCCATCCTTCAAACACATCAAGGTGACCCAAACAGGAGCCTGCACAAAGTTACAATTTTGCACTCGGAGCCAGCAGCTATTTCCAGCACTCCCATGTTGTGTTTAATTCAGTGGTGCTTAGCCTGTGCCAACACTTCTTGGAAGGATTTACAAAATAAGATGCTGCCACCCACTTGCTGCAGTAACTTAAATGCAGTAACTATATGTTTTTATCTCAAATGCAGGCATACCTCAGCTCCAAGCTGTACAAAGCAGGGGGGAGGGAGTGAACACTTCCTCCTTTTGTGTACTCTGTCCTGGTGAAAGGGCTTACAAAGTCAGACACCAACTGCCATGACCTTGGAAAGCCAGAGAGCAGAAGGGAGCTGGAAAAGAGTTCCAGCTGAGGGATATGTGTAAGTCATTCGTACTCCACAAGATTAGACAGGACTGCCATTAGTTCAAGTCAGACACTTGCCAGCAACAACTGGGAAAGTTAACCACCACAGGCACAGATTATAAAACAGTGCTTTGCCTTAAACAAGGCAGAGCCTGTTGCTGCATGTTACATTAAACCCATCAGGTCAACTCATAACTCTCTTTAGCACCATTACAGGGCAGGAAAATACATTCATGACATGCAATGTACCTAGTGCAGAATCTGCATAATGGAGATAGTTCTGCTGTCAAGCAGCATGGACACTTTTCTGTAAAATCTCCTGAATTTAAAAGATTACAAATCCTAAACTGGAGTTGAGTTCCTAAAATTAGGTCAGTGATTTGGCCCTGCTCAGACCATGATGTGATCCACAGGTTTTGGATCATTTATTTAAATGATCCTTAAACAACCTTTTGTTCTCCATCTGCTAGAAGGTGTCAGTAAGAATCCATCTGTTTCATCATAAGCTTCCGGCTGTACTCATAGGCAAGGAACAGTGCCCCATTGGCCAGGAATGCACGGATCATAGTTGGCTTTAGTCCAGAATACAAAGCAAGCACACCTGGAAATGAAATCAGAGCCAGTTAGCAATTTATCTGCATCAGCCACTGTGCTTTTTACCTTTGCAGGATACTGAAGTAATGCTTCTGCTTACAGGGGCACACACACACACACACAGAGCTGAACTCACTGGTGTCGCTGCTAACCGCAGCGTTACTGAATATTGATATAGAAGGAGTATCTAGGGCTGTAACGAGTTTAGCCATTTAAGTGCTCATGTTAGAAGCTTATCTCAGGTATGGCAGTCTTCAGAAGGCTACCTTGGTCACCTGAGGATACAGTTCACAGCAGCTGTACCACAGCTGGCAAGGGAACAGAAAGAACAGCAGGACTTTGTTAGAGCTGTGCCCCAGGACAGACTCCCGCTCCAATAAGTGTCTTCCCTAGTGACAGGGCCAGGATTCATACCTGCTGCCATGTACATTCTTACACCATCTTCTGAAGTGCCTGGTGCAGACCCTTTCCAGACACAAGACACTGAGGGAGATGCCCCAAGCTGCTAGATAGGACTAATTTATCAAACAGCCCTCAGTCAGCCATATATTAACTTCTAGAGGTGAAGAAAAATTCTGTACTGAATTTAGGCGGTTCCTTCACTTTTCATGTATAGGTTTTGTCATGGGTAATGGAACTCAACCTTTATCTGATTTTAATGCATGCTGAGCTTCTATTAGCTTTAAGTGAATTGTCTCCTGCACCAAGAGGCATGGCAGATGCAGCAGGTCTCAATTTCTAGGTTCCAAGCTTTCCAGACTACCTGAAGCATCAATATTTCTGTACCTTAGAAACAGTTATCATCTGCCTCTAGCACATTATCAGTGGACTAGATTTCTAGGCAATTTTTGGTATTGCAGGGTATAGATTTCAATCTGCAGCCCTACAGATTCAGTTGATGTGCTGCATACTCACCTTCAGTTCTCACAACAGTTACAAATGTTCCCATAAAGCCTGCCTGTTTTCCAGCCATTGAAAGAACCTGAATTCTAGATTTGACACAGTCCACAGGATACACAGCAATCCACAGACAGCTGCCTCCAAAACCTCCGCTTAGTAGCAAAGGAATGGGACCTAAAGTTAAGAAATAAACTCTTATACACACTGCAAAAATATTCACCAACATAAGTATCACGTTATTTCATCTACAGAAGTCAAAGAGAACACAGAGGAACCTGCTTATGAAAAAAGAGCAGTTTCTGCTCCCCCCCAAACCTTGAAGTTAATTTTAAGCCACTTGTAAGTTGCAAGTCTAAGCAGAAGCTCAAAGGTTATAAGGAGTGTCTGTTTGTTTGTTGGTCATGCTAAAAAAGGATAACTTGGAATTCTGTTTTGAGTGTATTAACTAAATTAACTCCACTCCTTTCACACTTTTGATCACTTTCCAGTGTTAATTGTGAAATGGTTTAAAGTGACACCACATAGTGTCACTCATCACCTATACAGATATTTGTTTGGTACACTGGAGTTACGTTGTGATCAGTCATTTTTCATGATGCAACCTCATTTTGAGTTTCAGATCAGATGTTTTTAATCATTTTCCAACAACAGAGACCAGAATGCATGCAGCTGAAATCCTAACTCCCAGCAAGACAAAGTGTTACTGTTTGGTCTTTCAGTAAGAGACAAGCAATCTTTATTCTGACATCTCCTTGTTTTTTCACATCTAATTTTCTGTCTTAGTGTTCTCTTACTATCACTGTAATGACATCTGACAGTCAGCATACATTTCAGCATACATTTGAACACACTGTTGAAGAAAATACAGCTAAAGACTTCAAAATCACTCTTAGTGGCTGCTGAAATGAAATCGTTCAGGGTTGTGTTACACTGCAGGGTCAGATATTTAAGCAGTTTTGTAGCGAGATATTTAAGTAGCTACTGTTAGCTCACTATTTTTTATTTATAATACATTCTGCTCCTTTGGTAAGTGGTCACTTCAATAATTCATTACCATATATACACAAAATGCAGACTTCCATATCTGGCATGACCAGTTTCCTTCATTTTACATGTATTTTACAGCTGCTGTGCATCATTAGCATACCTTCGGGGAAGACATGCCCCCTGCTCCCTTATGTCCCACACGACAGCATGCAAAAATCCACCTGGAAAAGGGGGCACCATACCTAATTCATCTTTCGATCTCCCAGAGGCAAAGAACGTTCGGCTCAGTTCATATCCTCCAAAGAAAAAGAAATAGCCTGGGACTTCTCGCAGCAAAGTGCTTGACAGGCCACGGTAAAATCCAAGGGGACCATCCTTCTGAATAACACCCTTCACTACTGACCAAACTGTACTGGTAGAGAGGTTGATCCAGTTAGTGATGCTTAACAGCCAGATAACAAGAAGGACACAGAACAACAGGCAATGGCAGCAACAGTTAAGGGTTAGTCCCATTGTGCAGCCAACAGAATTCCAGTAAGTAGAGCCAGATCCTGCCAGGCATCCTTCACTAGCATCCAGCTTTACTAGTAGCTGAAAGATCTCCAGGCTGCAACCCTCCCAGCCATAACTCTTCTCTTGTTAACAGCACACTACAAATGTGACACTGAGCTAATACACAATTAAAAATAATAAACACACACGGAAGTGTTTTGGTGATACCAGGCAAGGTATAGACTTACTTGTGTCCCTGGATTATCTTTCCTGACAACTGCATTTCGTGCATGGCCTGCAGCCGGCACTTCACCAGCTCTGTTGGGCAGAGGACAAGGGTGGCAAAGGCAGAGGCGAAGGAGCCTGCAGCAGCATTTTGCAGATCACTGCAAGAGAGAAACTGCAGAAGGTATTTGGGCACTGACCATCAGTGCAGTGGAGCCACTGCACCAGCAATCAGCTTCCTGAACCTGTACTCTGCATACCAAGAAAAACTAACGGACAGCCTTCGGGGAAAGAGCCTTTTTTTGGAAAGAGGGCAGTTACTTGAACTAGGGAAATGAAAAACCAAGCTCATCCCACCTTCATATACAACGCAAATAGATCCTTTTGACACCTGAGAAGATGTATTGCAGCCTTTACCTTTTTTGCTATACTTGAGTGACTGCAGCAGAATAAGCACTACCAAATCTTCCCCTTCTTGGCTTTTAAAAAAGTGTCCATAGACTTGTTTTACTGGGCAACTTTTGGGTACTAGTTACTTCCTCAAAGACAACAGGAGCAATAACACCTCACATAGAAGTCAGTATTTTTGACTTCTTATATTCTGTTCACAATACTTACCAGTATTAATTCAGGTTTTCAGTGGAAGATGCTAGAAATCTGAAACCAAGGCACAGGGGACCACTATAATCTGTGTGTTAATGTGCTGCCATGAACATAACAATATGACTCTGAGATAGCAGAGACAAACATAAACGACACCACTGAACAGGAGAGCACTGTAATCTGCACTGACACAGTATTCCAAAACTGGGACTTACTTTGCAGTGGTATTGCAGATATTGCAAAGTCCAGGACTCAAGAGGCTGGTATTCCAGGATGGTACTACTGCTTTATGATGCACTTGAAACAGGCTCCTACAGATACTGAGCCACACAATAGCACAGAACAAGCAAACAGAGCTTCTCTCTTCTTTCAGAGCCTGGGGAGTTGGCACAGCAGAGACTGACCTCACTGCTGCACAGAATCTCCTTCCTACAAGGGAGATGTTAGCCCATTGCCCAACAGCTTCATACACCTACAGTATCAGAGCTTAAAACCACAACTTTTCACATTACAGAAGCATCATAGAACTAAAATTGTGACATGAAGCAAAGCTTGTGACATTCAGACATGACAGCAACAAGAACTGTCAGGGTGGAAGAAATCAGTAAGTGCCTGCAGAACAACAACTGAATAACACACAGTAAATATGAAATGGCAACACTGCACAACGCTCTCGCAGTGCACACAGCTTGGCGTAACAGGGATCTGAGATGCCGCCCACTAAAGCTCAAGAGAGCAAGGCAGAGTTAAAAATACAGCACGTGGCTGAGCTCTGTAGTCAGTAAGCTGTGAGCTAGAGCAAGGCAATAAGGTTACACATTGAAGAATTGGGATGTATGGCAGAGGTGCCTTCTAACTACACACTGAAGAGTGCACAAGATCCTTCCTCCTTCAGGAGAGGAAAAAAACAGACTATCAGACTTCAAAAGAATTCCAACATGTACATAAAGAATTAGATTTAGCCATATGTCAGATCTCTTCTATTTTTGTCTGTTGATGTTTAATTCTACATACAAAACTTCAAGTAGACCCACTGTTGAGGCTTTGGTCTTTAATACAGCAAGCCTCACTGCAGAAGCGATAAGCCTTGAATCCTGTTCAAGTTCCCTCACAACTCAAAATGCCTAATTCAGTATTTTTTATGGATGGGAGAGTTTTGATCACATAGCACAGGAACAAGAATCTTCTACTCTTACACTGCTGCTTCTTCTATAAAAGGCATTTATCTTGTTTTTCCAAAGAAAATAAGCTGCTGAAGATGACTAGTCACGTACTAAGAAAGTCACACTGAGGTGAAGGAGGATAATAGTTCTCTCAGTTTAGACTTTGGCACGGAACAAAATCAGTTTGGTGGGACTAAGTGAGCATTTAAAGACAAATGGAATTTGGCACTTCTCTTTTCATTTGTTTGTCTCAATTTAGACTTTAGCATACAAGGAGATCAGTTTGGTTGGACTAAATGGATGTTAAAAGACAAATGGAAGGTAGTATTTCTCTCTCAAATTGTTTTCCTTTTGACACAAGATCAGTGGCATGCATTCCTTTAACTGGAAAAAGTGGCATTTTGTACTGTACTTATAACTGTTTTGCAAGGCTTCACACACTGAGCAGGGTATCCCTAAAAACAGGCAGCCTAGGCAAGCTTATTTCCAAGCCTTTTAAAGGTATGTCTGAAAAGGAAACTTAAAGCAAAACCACAACTCTTATAGCTGGTTTTGAGAAATTGTTATCATTACCAAATAATGAAGAAGTAAGAAGCAATTGCTTAGATATGGTTAAGAAAAATGGTCAGGTTCACCTCAGTTTGCAACCCAACGCATTTTCTTTTTCAGGCTAAGACAGTGTGACAGTTTTTAAACAGCAGAGGCAATTAAAGTAATTATAGTTCTTAACTTGTCATGTCTGGAGGATAGCCACCTCATCAAGGTTTCTTCCCTCCCCTGCAGCATGCTACAAAGGCTTCTCAACTCTTCCACAATGAGAACAGATGGACACGTCCTGGAAAGGCCACATGTACTCAGGATACCACTGCAGACCATGTCAATACAATTCTATCATACGTGCACCTTATAAGATACCCCCATAATGATCCAGGTTAATTGTTCAAGGGAGCAGCAACAACGGAGAAAGCTTTCAAGTAAACTTAGATCTTTCAGTGCTTTGTGCTACTACAGCCATGCAGTCACACTATTTGCACTTGAATCAACAATTAAACAGCCATCCTGGATCTGAAAAGGTACCAGTACCTGACCAAGGAAAGAAGGGTCAGATGTCAGAGGCACTTGCTGTTGCTACATATTCAAGTTACATTCCCATTCTGTATCCTACCCCAAAGATGTGGAGTAGCACAGCCATGTATACTGTTTGAAAGTTTCCTGTGCTACCTGCCCTACATACACCCTAAACATGCCCTCAGTCACTTGAAGAGATAATCCTAGGACCTCTGCAAGGCTGTGGTCTACCTCCCAGGAAGATCACAAAAGATGGTTAAGAAGCAAAGCATAAGCATGCTGTTGGTAGATCTACCTCCTACATTTGAGTGTAGGAAAATAAAAGGGGTCTGTAAGCTGATCTAAAAAAGCAATTAAAAAAAAAAAGGAGGAAACAATTCTGTCTCAGCTGAGAGGTCTTAACTGCCAGAAAACAGTGAAAGAGAATGCAAGGAGAGAGCAATTAATACAATTTGTTTCTTCATCACTGCATTTTCCTTCATAGCAGGCTTCAGCCTTAAGATACAGCACATCTTGACATGTGACAGGAGAACACCTCATGTAACGCCACTTTTAGATAGTTGTTGTGCACTTAGGTAGCTGCCCATGTCACGTCAGAGATCTCAAATGCAGAATCATGGCCCTCTGAGCTACTTCCATTTGAAGACAGATGAGACAGAGGCAGAACACACAGCCATTAATAAAAAGCTGAACGTGGTTCAGTCTTGCATTGCTCTTCGAATGGAGTTGGGACAGTACAAGAGGTCTTTTACACACTGTGGAGCATCACATGGATGGAGAAGGTGCAGCTACTCTCAGAGCTGCACAGAAGATGTACATTGAGAAATGCATTAACAGGGAGGCACACTGAGACTGCTGGACCACTGACAGCTCTAAACCGATGCACCTGGAGAAAGGCCATCCGAGCTAAAGATAGATGATGACCATTATGCCAGCACACAAACGCACAACTTGTTCACACCCTGAACACTCTGCAGTGTGCTGGTGTCCTGAGCTCAAACCCAGATGCATTAGAACTACAACAGTTTCAGAGAAAGGTAGTGAGGACAGCTAAAGGAACAGCTTCAGAGTGCTCACTGACTAGGAGGGCTGGGATCCTTCCATCTAGGAAAAGACTTGGGTGGGAAGGGCGGTCTGGAGCAATGGACAGAGGTCTACAAAATCCCATGTGGCATGGAGATGGTGGCTAAGGATCAATTGCATCTTCCAGCTACAGAATTAATACCTATCACCTGCAGAAATCCTGGCCAGAGTGTATTGTACACGCAAAGAACTTAAAAGAATTCAAGAGGAGACCGGACAAGCTCTTCAAAAGAGACCCAAAGTCACTGACTGATTACACCAGGATCAAGAAATCCTCTGAACTAAGAACACAGCCTGGCAGAGGACTCAGTAAGTATTAAACACTTTCTCTTCTTTCTCATTCCTTAGGCAACCACTTATTGCCAATACTGTAGACAACATACTGTGCAAAATTAAACCTTTGGTCTAATCACCATTACATTCAAGCTTTTGAAACGTAAATAAATAAATTTTAAAAGCAAGGCAATATTGGAAAAATGTCCTTTCTCCTTAGTATGTCTCCCTGTAAGAGGAACCATTACCTCCCCTGCAAAACCAGAACAAACTAGAGATCAAGGGAATACCAACTTTCAGGTGCTGAAACGCTCATTCCTTTTGGCAAGATGTTCCAGGTCTTGAATATTCCAGTTAACCGCTGATTAAATAAACCAGCCAGCTGCAGTGACAAGTAGATGGCTCTGTCATAGTTAGACACCATATCCTAGCACAAAGGTCTATGTTCCAAAAATTAGCATACTGCATACTGGCAGAAAGGGGCCTGGGACATCAGTTGCACCCTGACAATACAGTATTTGCAAGTAACAGTTGTATGATTTATTTATTTATTTATTTTAAAATAGGAAACAAATTTCTCTTACTAACCTGAGTTTTGTTTTCCTGTCTACTCCAACAATCCTTCTCACAATTTGTTGGCAAAATCCATAGCACATGAACAGCACGGAGTTCTCGGCGATGTTGGCTACAAGCGCTGGTGTGGTTCCCTTGTAGAAGCCCCGAAACCCCACTTGCTTATAAGTCTTCACAAAACAGTCAACGATTCCTTTGTACATGTCGGGGAACGTCTGCATCTTCACCTTTGCAGTGTCAAAGGGCTGGCCAGTCACCACACATGCTGTCCCACCTAAGCAAGCAGTGGAAGTTTAAGAGGGTGGCTGAGTTATCACAACTGAAACACATATACACAAACAGCACTACTAGGAAAATCAGAAAGATGAAAGAATTCTCTGCAGGAAAAGACAACTGCATTGATTTTAGCACAATGGCATCAATTGTTAGTGGTGAATTTAGTTACCTGAAGAAAAAAAACCCAAACAAACCAAACCACGCATAAGAGCAGTAACAGCTTGATCCTCATTAAACATTTCTTTACCTTACTAAAAGCAAGTACCTAAATGAATCAGTTCTTACACAAACGGGTACTGAATTAGAGGCATTGTTCTGCAATCAAGTCATTGGTGTTTTTCCTTTGCTCATCAATGCAGTGGGTTAGAAGCTACCTGAATTTATGTTCCAACAATAAGAAAAAGCAAAAATTTGTAATCAAGTGACACAAAGGTTCTCCCAGGACAAAAGGAACACTGCTGAGAGAGTGCTAAAACTGATGATGCATTATGAACTGATAACAAAAGACTCAAGCTCTTTACTTCAGAACTCCAGCTGATTCTTATTTACATTTATTCTCACGCACTGGAAGAAAGCATCCAGGATAAGTTAAAAAGGGCAAAAGGGCAGAGTTTCTCAATGTGTTATCTTTTCCAAACTGAACTGCAAGGTCAATACCCTGAAAACTTGTGAGATATTTCCATCA